GCTTTGTTTTGCCTTTGTATGTATTGTTATTGTGCTGTTGTTTGCTATAGTAGCTTTTAATCTCCCTAAGGTGTAAGCCTGTAAGGGGTTATGAGTTTGGTCACGTGTGTATGTGTGTATCTGTCTGCAGCTAATCTCACATACCACTGGACCAATCAGCCTCATATTTTTTATGCACATTTATGACCACTCAGGATTGATGATTCACAATTTTTGAAAAACCATAAAAAACTCATTTTATTGCCTGCTCTGTTTTATGCCGACTGCCGCTCCCTAGTTGTGCCTCCAAACCTGAAACCCATAGAAAGATGGTCCCATCTATAACCAGAGCCTCTGCAGATTAATTCCAGTCCTGAAATGTTATGATCCATTAAAGTCTGACACTGTACCTCACTGGCCGCTCTTATGGTCACCACTATCCATCTGCACGGTCATCATATTGGAGAGCTACTAAAAAACACTACATGGTGTATTGAGAGATGCAGACTTTCCTACAAAATCACGTTACTCATTTAATTCTGCACTGCTTTTAGTGAAATTTGGTTTGTGATCAACATTAGAAACTGAACATGACACTGGTTACTAGTTGGAATTAAATTCAGTTACTGGGAGCCGATGTACTCAGCTCTATGGCAAAAGAGTAACCTTGTGAATAGCCACAACTTCCGCTGGAACACACAGGGGCCGATCTATGAATAGGCAACGTCAAACAGCAGTTTCTATATTTACTAACCTGCCTGGTTGCTTGTAATGTTCAAAATAAATAATGTTATAAACAGCTATGTTAAATTTAGCAGTATATACCCAGTTTATTGTTTCCGTATTAAGTTATACAGTTATGCAAACCCTGGATGTTCAGTTACAATACCATTACACTATTATATTAAAGAAAACTAAGACTATATTATAAAAAAACGTCATTAAAAACTTTGCATACATCTATATAAGACCAGCACTATACTATACAAACAAAATGTGTTTTTATGAGTTGTATTTGGCAGTTGTGGTGGCATTGAGGTAGGTGCTTTACATACGAGCTTTTGCCTGGCAGAGATCTGCACTCTGAGAGAACTCTTCTAGTTTGTAAATGTTGTACAGTTAAGATTGAAATACAGGCTCCGTATAATATGCTTGTGATTAAGGGTGAAATATTTTAAACCACCCATCTCAAACTGTGTGCTATGAAGGGCTATTTTTTATTCTACAATCACATGAAAGGAAGAGAGAAAGAGTTTATCATACTATTGAGATCTCTGAACTATTAAACAGGATGGAAATATCACCCATTACGGATGGGAAAATATTATTTTATAAACACTTTATTCAGACTGTAGGACCAGAGTAATCAGTGATCCGCATATGTTCCCAGACAGAGGAGGAGGTAATCAGTAAATTAAGGTGGTGTAATGTTTGCTTGGACTGAAAACCTGCAGACTTTGACCTTTTTGAATATCACACCGTTTGAAACATCTGCAGTAAATAACAACATTTGGAAAGACTTTACCTGTCTGGAAAAATTACAAAAACATCATAAAAGATCAAAATCAAGATGACAGTTTTAAATGTTATAACAATAAGGAGGTCTAAAGGGTTGTATTTCACCAAAAACACATCTGGACATCATGTTGAGCTTTTTATAGGTCTATTTACAAAATTGCTGTTTGAAATGTATCTTTATTTGCAAAGCTTTGGGAAAATGGCTTTCATTGTATATGATAATGCATTGCTTTGACATGGTAATAAAGTGCCAGGCTTCATTTAAGCAACAGTGTCTAATCTACAGTAATAGTAGTGACTCACTGCCAATTCATCCTGTGTCTGCTAGAGATGAAGAGAATGGAAATTGCTCTGATGTAAAACAAATAAGACAGATGAAAGGCTCTATGGTCAGACAAGGATAAACTTCACTGACAATGGATTATCTTTTTAAAAAACAGGAGTGGATTTTTCTTGTGATTTTGTTTTGTTTGTTTGTTTCTGGCGTATTGAATATTGTGTTTATTAAACTACAATGTGTCAGCCATACTCATGTCAGTGTTTTTATTTTAAGTTCAAGAGAAATAGATGAGCACAAGTTAGATCATCATGAAGATCAACTTCAACTATTCCTTGTTCTACAGGCACAGTAGATCGAATTAAGCATACTATAGTGTTATGAGCTTTGAAGAACAAATTAGTATTGGTCCCAAATTTTATTTTACTGCTTATATTTTGACAATTGTTGAACCTGCATTTTCTGACGTAGTATTAATCATAAATGTCTTAAAAAGGGCGTCACCAGAATTTCTACAAAGACTTAAAATGGATGAAAATATCATCTCTTACAGATGGGAAAATATTGGATAAGTCAGTATTAAACTTCTGGTTTATTTTTGTATGATTTTTATGCACCAATGCACCAAGGCAAATTCCTTGTATGTGTAAAAACTTACTTGGCAATAAACCCGATTCTGATTCCGATTCCGATTCCGGTGACCCAGTGATGAAAAACCACTTCGTCCTTGGTTCAAAGCTGGAGAACTTTTGTCTCAGGTCATCCTCGTCTCGCAACCCATTTGTCCTGTTGTCAATTTCTGACACACTCCAGTCCCGAATATAAAAACAGAAGTTTGTTTCATGCAAACAGCTGTATTGTCAAACTTCCTGAAACAACCAGCAACTACACCAGGAAGTTTCAGCAGTTTCATTTTTAAAGAAACGATAACTGCGTGCGCTCACACAAACACACAGACCAGAAACCTGACTGCAGCAGATTAAAGAAGGTAAACTCTCCTTTTTTCTGGTCGCTAGTTTTGAATTTACCATGACGCCGTTTCACATGAATGGTGAAGACTTATTTCTAAGTGTTGTCTACTTATTATCCCTCCAATGCAATTTAACAAGGAAACACTGCTCTGATGTATTTCGTAGTAAAAAGACTAACTTTGGAGGATATTTATTCTGATTAACTCAGGCTGCTGATATTAACTTCAGACGAACTTTGGAATACATTTTTGCTCAGAATGACGACTTTGGTTTTTGTCCCTCATCTCTTGTAACGTGTGGATGGAGAATGTACAGTATGTACGAATAATGCTGGCAATATTTTTTTTAAATATGTATACAGGATGATGAAGATGTCAGGAAGAGTTTGCCACGAAGTTGCTTTGTGTAGGCCTTCTGTTCCTTGTTCCTGAACTCTTGTGTCAGCGGTGACGAGGCTCAAATCAATCAGTGATTTTTTTGAAGAAAAATCAACTTTTCGGTCCCATCGTTTGCCCAAACACAGTCTTGATTTCTGGCTCCACTTGGTTTGCCAACGCAGTTAAACATGGACAAAAACAATTTTTCATAAGACTGACCTTTGAACCCGAACGTGGGAAGACTATGGATTCAAACTCATTACGGCAACTATGAGGGGCTACTGGACCCACTGCCTCATGGATACCGGTACTTCACTATTGGAAATCTCTATCAAGAGACGTCCATGCAACTTCCAGCTTATGTTGCCAATCCCCAGAGGGAGTATTCGGGAGAAAACAGGGACAGGATCATAATTAGAGTCCAGGAGCAGAACACAGGACGTGGAGGTTTGCAGATAGACCAAGTGTATATCACACAGCATTATGACACTTCTGAACATCAGGGGACCCCTTATGATCCAGATCACACCTACCAGATCACTCCTAACCTCTTAAGACAGATCAGAGCGTTTTCACTGAGTGAAAACCAACGGCCGCTGCTGACTCTCAGAAACCGCTTTGGAAGTAGCGCCGACCTTTCCTCCATCACAAACACATGGGGTAACCTTGCTTGCCTTGGACTGCTGTTGTTTATTGTGATCGAGGAGAAGTACTCCTCTAACCAACGCAACAACAGACCGGAAAACAACAACAGACCGAAAAACAACAAACCAAAAAACAACAGACCGAAAAACAACTACAGACCAGAAAACAACTACAGACCAGAAAACTATTACAGACCAGAAACCTACTACAGACCAGCAATTAACAGCAGACCAGAAAACAGACCATGTCAATGCAGTCTTTGTTGTGTGGCCAAGTACTGTTTCATAATATTTATTTTGTTGTTAATTATCTTTTTGGCCGTTTATTTTTCAATCCTTCACAAGAAATGAGAGAGAGTAATGTTCCCAGATATTGTCTGAACCAAGGTGTGATGGTGCAGCTTTGTAGAACAACGAGGACCATGAGACCAGCACAACTTGTAAGTCAACTGGGAACACTGAAGCGACTTCAGATTTTGGCACTGAAAACAAAACATTCAATGAAAAAGGAAACACTGGAATTGAAACATGTATTCAGAAAGGTGTGCATTTTAGGCACAAAATAATCCAAACTTCCAACAGGAATGAGTCCAATACCCTCCTTTTTGACCATGTGATTACAATCTTATTTCATCCTGATGTATTTTGCATTCTGATGAGTTTCTCAAAGACAATCAAAGGCTTTTCTTCACGTCACGTTTATTTTGTACGCTGACAGTTCCTATTGTGTTCTGTGTTTATGATAATGTGTCAGATTGTATTTTAAAGTTGGATGAGCACGAGTTTGATGTACAAAATAAAAGATAAAGACCAGCGAGTGTCAGTGTTTTTAAACAGCATGTATGCCTCATGCAAAAAACACACACCCACACACACACACACACACACACACACACATTAACAATTTATCAGACCATTTCCATCCCTTGTGACATGCACAAGTTCTTATTTGTAGCCAAGTCCCAGGCAGGCCTATCAAAAGGCCTTTATGTTTGTGTGAAAGAGACGAACACTGTTTTAATGTGGTGAAACTAGGATAGCGCTCAGCAGGCCAGCACAAGACTCAGCAGATCATAAGATAATGAGTCATCATCAAAAACTGGTGCAGGCTCAACTTTAAGAAAATACTAATACAGTCAAAGATTGATGCCGGTCAGAGCCAACTGTTAATGACAGACAGGCGCTGTTTAAAAGCTGACACATTCAATGTATGCACACCATTTCACCAACAATGTGTATACATGTTCTGTTTGAGAACGAGGAACGGCAGAAAACATCTTATTCCTGTCACGAAATAGAGATACAGAGCCGGACATGTTTCGTTTTGTTTTTTCATGTTGGTGAATTTCCTTAATCAAAACGTAAACTCAGTGTCAGTCGGTATTATTTGAAAACATAATAAATAATAGTAAAATCAAAATGACGACCATCACAAGCCAATGTTTGTTTTGTCTAACAAACAGTCCAACATATAAAAGATTAAAATGATTAAAATGATATACAACGCAGAAAATCATCACATTTTAGTCACTGGAACCAGAGACTATTCAGCGTTTGGCACTAAAACCTACAATTAATCTTTTTCAAAATTGTTGCTAAATAACATTTTTACTACACGGCATGACAGAAATTCATCTTTTTACCTTCTTCTCGCGCACAACAAACGACACAATGCTGCACTCAAAGATTAGAGCAATGAGTCAACAGCTTATTCAATAAAAGAGACAAGAAATCAACTATGATAAATAACTATATCAACTGTAAACAGCCTTTTTTATGCTCTAAGATATAAGAGATCTGAGAGAAGAATCAATCATTGTGCGTCGCCAAGATACAGCACAACTTCGGAAAGTCAAAACATCTGCAATCATTTGCTCTATGGCCTAAGCGAACGTGCATGAATCAACAGAAACACCTAAAAATACACAAGATAAATAAAACAGCAGTGTACAGAATGAATGAATGTGTGTGTCTGTAAACATGAGATCACATCCTGTTGAAAGGCCACAAGACTGGATACAGCTGCTCATCATTATACTCGACAAACCAACCGAAACTGAGCATGTCATTACGGCACCTTGTACTCTGCAGCCGCCACCAAAACAACCAGCTTATCGCTTATCGGCACGTTCATCCGTCACCCTCCCCAGGGCCAGAAACTCTGCGTGAGCGGCAACGTGTACACACGAGCGCAGACACACACACACGCACACACACCGAGAGCCCAGAGACGGTAGATCCCAGTTAAGAATCACAAGCCCTCAAGCAATAATCTAATGGGCCACACAAAAAGTCCCACCGGATACAGCGCTGACACAAAAGTAAACAAAAAAAAGATGCAAACTGAAGACATTCTCAGTTTGTCCTCCTAAAAAAAAAAAAAGAAAAAAACACCCAACGTGTTTTATGTAAAATAACCTACTTAAAAAAGGATTTGTGCTGAATCTGCGCTGTGTGCTACTTGTTGAGGAAATGGAAAGTAAATTGTCAGTTTCGGGCAATGTCGTTCAAAGCGCTGTGGTGCTGTCGGGTTGCAGTTTTAAGCGGCTCCAATGACTGGAGGGTTAAAGCCCTGGGCTTCTCTCAATTTTTTGTTTTCTGCCCTGGGCGGACCAACTTTACAGGAAATGATCTCCTCTCCTGCTCTCTCTCCATTTTTCCTTCCTCTTCCCTTCTGTCCACTGACCCTCCTCCGTTTCCCTCCCTCTCTCTCCACCTCCTCCCCGCTCCTCGCTTCTTCCCAAGCTTCTTAAAACCAGGGCCTCCCTCCCCTCCCACCACACGCGGCATGAGCAGGAAGGTGGTAATGTGAGCCGAACGTGGCAGAAGTTGAGACTTAACCGTCCCACTCTGCCTTGCTCGCTTCCCTCCTACTGTCACACGATGCCACATTTCACATATTCAACATGTGAGGAAATATCCTCAGCAAGAGGCAGAAATAAAACGTAAATCCCTAGCTGTGTGCAAAGGAAGTGCAGTGGATACAGAGAGACACGGAGGGGCAACGCACGGCATAAAAACTGGAAATTGGAGGCTTTCTATTTTTATGTTTTATGACCTCCAGATTTGGAATGTATCACCTCCCAGCCGCCTACGCCTGGATACTACTCGAACCCATGAGCACAGCTGTCTCCAGATAACACTGCTACACACACACACACATACCATACACATACCAGTGTGAAGATGAGCTGTACTAATAGGATAAGGGTTAAGGAAGGAAACACCACAAGTAACCTGCAAGTTTAGTGGGGATTTTGAAGCCAGTGCATACCAAACAAAGCATAAATAAAGACACATTTGCCCACAGCAACCAGAACCGGTTCCAAGCTCAAACTCTATTGAAGAATACTTTTGAATTAAACACAATGAAAAGATAAAGCACGCCGCTGAAAACTATAACCTATGCTCATAATTACCAGCTTTGCAAGTGCAGTTATACTTAACCAAAAATAAAAAATAAAAAAAGCTAATGGACCCTGGAGGCTGCAGTTCATTACACTCCACGGTAGCAAAGAAACATATGAAATAAACACACTGAAAATGTAATGTAAAACTAATTCAGCTAAAGACACAGTTTAATCTGGGCGTGGCGCTAAAAGAGAGGTCATGGGGTCACCTTAAATATCCGGTTTCTTCCTCTGAGGATGAGTTTAGTTTCATAAGACACCTTGGCGTACAGCAAAGGTGTTGTTCTGTAGCTAGGATAGCCCAGATAGTGGTGTTCTGATGGAGACCAGGGAGTGAGTTTAAGTACTGGGAAAACTTTAGGAATATCCAAACTAAATGTCATGGCAGTTTTGTAAGAGGTAACTTAAGGATGCCTCGACTCTCCATCGACCCTGCCATCATAATGCCCTGCTAGATTTGAGGCAAGTAAAGAAAACTCTCCCTGTCAAATCATTCAAGGCTTTTTTTGTGGGACGGCTGGATTAAACTGGATTCAAGGGCCTTTTCCTTCCACTCCTGACCCGGTCTGCCTAAGAACAGAACACCAGAACAATGACTCACCAGAATGCAGTATATTACCACAGTTATGGCTTCTTTCTTGATGTTGCGCCTCAGTCAAACCAATACTTATGGCGCAAGCTACTACAAAAACATCTGATACTCCGTTTGAGCTTGGCATCATCTCCGTACCACATGTCTGGGAGCTTAGTCAGCAGTAGCTCAAAGGTCAAATCGAACTGCATTGTCTCGACAAGGATATATTTTGTTATTATTATATCATGTTAATAAAATAATAAGTATAGTAGTGATTACAAAAGTGCTACAAAAGTCCTCTAAGCAACGAATACACACAAAAGTTCAAAAACATCCGCAGCTACCAAACTTGCTCACTAGCGTCTTAATAATAACTTATTAAATGTACAATCAATGAAATCAAAGCTCCCATTTAGAAATGAGAACATGCACCTACTGCATATTCAACACACACACAAAAAGATTTTAACCAGTGGCTGATTCGAGTTCCGAGTGAGCTGGGTTGTTTTAACTGCTGTCCTGAGAGCGGCCCTGTGATTCTCATCATCAACCTCCCTGACCTACATTCACAGTTAGTCTAGACTGACAAGCTCTCACTGGTACGGTTACTTCACAGCTGCCCCGCTGGTGGAATAAAAACAGCAGAAACGCTGAATAAACACAAAATAAAAATCAGTATAGGTTCAAATGTGTGTCCTACTGAATTACAGAGCGCCGCGTCATTATCAAATTCAACGCGAATTTGACAGCGTTCAGTGCGAGGCTGAGATTAGACTGTGGTTTTAGAAACAGGACACATATATTGTACGTGAATCAAGGTAGATGTTTGATTGTGTGTGTGTGCATACACGTCTGCAACAAGACTGTGAGAGTCGGTTGCAAGATTAAGTCAAAAGGAAACGGCCGTAAACATAAAAAGGAGAACCTGAGCAGCGACATGGAAAAACAATGATCAGATGATTTCATCACAGTGTAATTGCTCTCCAACTGTTGCAAGTCATTGGATTTAGAAAGACAAGTCATGCTGAAACCAGATACAACTCAAATGAGGACATACACACAAGCACTCGTGGGTTAACTCCTCCTAGGGCGGTTCACTCCGATGAAGATAGTTCACCCTGGGAAACTTATTTTACACATACAAGAGTCAGTTTAGAAAACAGGGCACTGAGCAGGTACTCACTGTTTGTGGGCCGGGCTGTGGGCGGCGGCTCTGTGACGGGGGACTGCACCCTCTCCACCCTTGGCTCTGCCAGGGAAGGCAGGGGGGCACTAGGGGCAGGAGGTGGGTGGTTGTTGTTCTCCACTGCACTGCCTGCCACCAAACCATCTGGCTGTCTGAAGACCGGCATCTCAGGCCTCCTGGGGGCCCCCTCAACTGGGCCGAGGATCGGGGATGGGGGCTCTGCTCTTCTCTGAGGGGGCTCAGGGATCCTTGAGACTGGCGCCGAGGACAGCTGGGCATCCATCCTCCTGGGAGGGGCGGGGGGCTCACTGGGCCGCGTCACGCTCAGCTCTGCCCGCCTGTTCGTGGAGCTGGAGACGGAGTTGGAGGAGCTGTCCAGGGGAGTACTCCGAGTGCTCAGGCTGACCTCGGGTCGCTTGAGGCCAAAGCGGGCGATGCCAGCACTGGGCGAGTTGTCGATCTGCTTCGAGGAGACCTCAATAGAAATTTCTGTGCGGCGGGAAGAGGCTGTGTCAGGGTTCCGACCCCCTGATAACTCAACGCGCCTCATGCCGGTCTTTGGGGAACGTGGGTTGGAGGACTCGGAGGGGGAAGATCTGGTGGAGGAGTAGTCGGAGTTGCGGGAGCTCAGGTCGAAGCTGCGCTGGCTGGACGTGGAGGAGGTGGATGAGCGGAGGGGGTTAGTGGTCCGACGAGACAGGGGAGAAGGGTGTGTGGACGAATCCGTCTCCTCCACCTCGAACGACCGTTTCAGCGCTGGAAAACACAGAGCGTTTGTGGTTAGACATGACACAGATGAACCTCTGAGCCCATACAGATGCTGGCTGGAGTCACAGCACCAGCAGCTGTATGATATTTAACTTTATTCATTATTAAAACATCTCCTGGTTATTATGCAAGAGAAGAAGAGAACAAATCAGATAACATCAAGGCCTGAAGCGGCGATAATTCTCATGACTTTTTCATTCAGTGGTGGCATTGTACAGTTTGTTTTGGATCAGACAGAAACTCACTGCTGCTCCGTAAAAACACTGCAGCAACTTAAACTTCACAGAGAGCGCTTCTTCAGAAAGTTGGTGCAACCATTTATTTTTGTATCAAAGGAGGAAGATAACACCTGCTTGATTTGAAGTAAAAAAAACAACTAATTGTTGACTAACTGTTTGTGCAGGACCAAATATACTATAACTCGAGCTGAGGAGCAGTCAGCAGTGCAACAGGTAGCGATACCACGCTGGGGACCAATGAAATGTCGGTATAAAAATGGCTCAGTGTCTGCATACAACCACATTTCACCACAACGAGCATCGACACTTTAAGTATGGTTGCAGTTATCTTTTTTTAACACACTGCTGCAGCCTCCCAAAATGAACTCCACTGTCGCTCTTACCAGATTTCACACGCTTCACGTATCTCGACAGCATGATGTTTGTGATTAAAAACCCAGCCGGTGAAAATATTCCTTTATTCCCACCAAGCAGGTTTTAATACCGTTGTCAGGTACAAACACACATCTGCACTGAAACCGTCTCTGTTAAATCCTCTGGCTGAAGGCTTTATCAAAGTACACGGACATCTTCTTGACATCTCGCGCACCTGTTGACATGACGACTATCCGACTGACCACGCCTCGCGAGCGCTCTAATTGACCGCGTGACCCATGAACATAATATAATTATACTTACATAATTGATTTTTAAACAAGGAAATTAAAACATGTGTCCTGTAACCTCGCTGGTTTTATAGTAGAATTCTTCTTTTAAAGCAAATATATCTTAAAATAGCCTTTTTCTGTTTTTATAGCATCTATTTCTATTTTATTTTTTATACTCAGGCAACTATTTGGCTTTGTGTGTGGTTAATTATGCGGCCGATTTTCAGATGATTACTCTTAAAAAATTAAAAACAGCAGATTAAAGTTAATACATAACATTCTTTTTTTTTTAAATAATTATATTGCTTTAAATTGGTAGCAGCTGCACATTTCTTTCATTTTAAGTGTCTGAAAAGTCACTCCAAACATTTTATCCGACCCTTTCCCACACAAACCAGCTCTCTCCTTTCATACCAGTTTAATGTGCCAATATTCCATCACCAGCCTTTTTGTTTTAGTTGTTGTTGTTTGATAGTTTTTTTCTTTTTCTCAGGCCTCGTAAGCCCCCATGTCAAATGTGAGAGTGACACCTGGCTCGCCTCAGCTCGGCCCAGAGACCGGAGCAGCTACAAACCCTAGAGCAACCCGGCCTCTGTCCCAGATAAACACCCAAGCCTGCGCAGGCTTCTGGCCTGCTTCACGACTGACGGGCCAAAGCACCAGCATGGTAAAAGACCCTCTTCCTGGAACTCAGTTGTTTTCACATCCTGAATTATGTTTCAGCAGGTTTTAGTGTCTGATATCAGAGGATCTGCAGAGAAGCAGGCAGCTCAGTATCCACTGAGTGCAATGTGAAATACTGCTTTAATTTGGTGACATCGATTATACATGTAGAAAACAGCGGGTCAGTTCTTGTTAGCATCACTTGCTGTTAATGTTTCTTCAGTGTGGTTATGGCAGTAACAAGTCAACAATACCACTGTATCCCACACTGTCTGAGCTCACATTCACTTTAACGACATACTGATTAATCAATATGACATGTGCCATCTATACCATTGCACTTTTTCCCTTTGTGTGTTGGACCCTTGTGTAATGTGTCCTCAAATGTTTGCCATGTCCTCAGTAAATCCTCTGAAAGACATAAAACCATAAACATAAATTCCTGCGCGTTAACTGCATGTGGCAGTTTTGGCACTTCTTCATTACACCGTTGAATGATACAATGAGAGACAATGACAAAAACATTGTGACTTAGATATAAAAATCTGATTGTATATGCACGTCGTATGCATCACAGATCGCTTCATCTCCGACAATAAGCTCTTTGTGTTGCTCACATGGAAAAAATGTAATTTTATTTGAGAAAGTTTTCCTGGAAGACAGGGTTGTCAGTGTGCTCTGTTCCTCTTTAAGTATATAAGCAAAGAAACGACACACTAGTCACATTGAAGTTATATGTAAAATTCATTGGATGCAGTGTTAAAGCCTTGAAATATCTTAAGGATGATACTTAAGGACAGGAAATGAACCACTAATGGAGGTAATTTGCTGTAGCCATCCCTCCATCCAGCCTTTAATGAACATTACTTGCACTGTGTGATGCTCAGCCCTTAAGGGCAAAAGCTTGAGCTGTGAAAGTAAGCAGCAAAAGCTTATTCAAAGTGCCACAGACCACTTAAAACTGTGTTTGACTGTGATTTTGATATAATGACCTGTTTGCCTAGAATTGTGCTAACTGTGTGGTATGTGCCTGCTCTGTGGTGACACAAGAGCCCAGCACAGTGAGGTCCTCACAGACACAGTGGAGACAGCGGCCCTGTCAGTTATACTTCTATCTCTCTCTGTATGTGTGTGTGTTTAAATACAGCTGTAGAGTAAAGCAAACACAGCCTGGTCTGCCCTAGTTGGAGCCAAACTCTCTGCCTGTGTTAACGTCTTACTACAGTGCATCCTGGGATCTGTGTATGCGTGTGTGTATGAATGAAGGTAGATGGGGAGGTCACACATTAATGTCTCCCTCTTTGTGTATTTATGCGACAATGATGGCACCATTACTTCACCTGTATGTTTATGTTTGACTACGTACAGTAGTGTGTTTGTGTTTCAATGGCTCTGTGTGTGTGTGTGTGTGTGTGTGTGTGTAGGTTTTTTCAGGGTCATAGCTGTATGAGTGTGTGTGTGTGATATCAAGGACCATTTGATGTCCCCAAGCTGCTGTATGCTGCTGTTCCTCTGAGGCCACAGCAGTGATCACAGCCTTTTCAACCACGATAGTAAGATAATACTAATGAGCATGTGAACCGCTCTCTCTCTCTCTCTCTCTCTCTCCTGAAAGTGAAGCAAAATCTGCTTTGAAGAGTTTTGAACCCCATTCAATTTTGGACTTCATTCTCAGTGATATACCGTGAACTTGCTGGCGGACAGAACCGCCAAATAAGGAAAACATAGCAGCCAAGCGTGGTGTTTTTCAACTAACACACGTTTAAATGTGGTTAAACTGCCAGAAAATCATATGATGATGCTATTCTGTTCTTCAGTGTAGCATGTAAGGTTACTGGATGAGCACCACATCGACATTCTCTATGCCTCTCTGAGCATGACAGTAGATGAGTCGGATGGGTCAACAAGTACTACCTTTTGTCTTCAGTTGTTGAGGGAAACTGAGGATCACTACAGTATAAGCGACTGCTAACTAAACTTCCAAGAGCTACATAGTACAAACTGCAACTACTGTCACAATCAGCCATCATACAGTTGCTATACTTAATATTATAAATGTCAAGTTCTAATCTGTAAGATTTTAATAAAATTAAATCTTGTTTCTGATACTTGGTCTGCATTTTTTAAAGCCATTCAATGTATTTTAAAGTTGTAATTACTCCTCAATATAGTGAAGATCACCATTCGGCTGGGTCAAATTGCCTTCACGCATGGTTTCCCAGGAAACAGGGCATGCATGTGAAACAGATGTACTGTTTGTAATTTTCATTTCATCACAATCAGCCTCACTGTTTACTGTTCACTCTCCCACAACCTTATCAGAGCTCTGTTAGTTTACTGCTAATGCAAACTGGCAAAACACAGGACGGCTTTTATTGTGAAGCAGTCACAGTAAACGCAATGAGTTTGTCACTGAGGTGATCATGCCTGAAACCAACCAAGACAACGGTCGTTATTTTGCCTGTGGATGTAAAATCTTTTCCAAATATTTAAATAAGTAGCAGTCAAAGTGAGCAGCAGTCAGCTCGACAAGGTGACCCACAAGAAGGCTTGGGGAGTAACGGATAACGTGTGAGCTGAGTTATGTAATCAGGATACAAAAAAGGTAACTGTAATCTATTACAGTTACAGAAAAAAAAATTGTCTATCTATTTGAATTGTCTTGCATCGATACTTCTTACTGACATTTCTCTCTTGCTTATATTTACATATTTTGTGTTGGCTGAGCTAATCGAAAGTAACCCGAAAGTAACCCTCCCAACCCTGACTGTTTGTTTGGCTGCACTGTACACAGATATAGCTGCTCAATGACTATATGCTTCAGTATTACACCGGACTTGCTGTTACCGTGGTAACCACGGGTGTCGACAAATCAACCAGCACTGGGAAAAACTTTACAATAAGGCCAGTTTGACGCTCACAAATGAAGTCACTCATGCTCCTACGCTTTCTGAGAAAAGACTCTGCAGTTTACCACAGTGGCCTAAAAAGGTTCTGCATGTCAAAATGTGCTTGGCCCTTAAATATAGCCTCAAAGCCCAACCCTCCCTTTCTGGAAGTGTCTGTTACAGTTGTCAAACGCTCTTTCCATTCCTTGTAGGAAAGAAAAACCCACACTTTCTTCTCAATGTACAAAAGAAAATCTTTCATCACAGGCTAGTTGTTTTTAGCCATAGCATGGTGCCTGTTGATAACTCTGGGGTCTTGCTTGGGCTCGGCATTGGTGCAGGTTTCGCTCACCGTGTCCAGCAGGGAAGAAAAACAGCAAGGAGTAACTCTGAAGCCTAACAAAGACCTGCTGTGTTCACTATACCTCAGAGTGACCCTCGGTGCTGCCATCATTAGCAGGAAACTCATCCTAGCTGGTGAGTCGCACAGAGCGTCCTGATAGTGCTGATAAGGACGGAGACTCCTGAGGATGGCTATCGTCAGCCTCTGTCAGAAGACACTTCCTTCCTCTAACACACGCGCTCTATCAATGAGACTCCTCATGCCATTTTGTCACAAGGGTGAGCTTTAATGGTTGGGATCAATAGCACATTAACCCTATTCTTCTGTTCTATGACATAGTACTAATACTTAATAGCCCAGTTTCAGTGCATTAAGGGAACCAACTAACTAACCAACTAAACCCAAACCACAGCAGCAGTTCTTTATAATAATTTTAAAGGCGTTTGAGATCCTACCATGAATTCCCTCAACAAATTTCCACCATAAATCAGGTTTGTCCCCTAATTTACAAATTTAAATGTCTCATGTGGCCTTTTTTATCTATTATAATAATTAAAAAACACTTAGAATGAATGAACATGAGTGAACAATACCAAGCAGCTCTAAATAGGACCATGAAGGTGTTATCTATCTATAATCCTCAATACTTTCTATTTTATTTATCCGAGCATCAACACCTCACATTCTTACCTAGTGATTAACACTTAACTTTATCCCATCATTGAGTGTCAAGACTTGTGTTGTTTGTGATGGGTAGTTAAGATGTAAAGAGAGGCCTGGCTGAGCTTAGATCCACTCCTCCACTGCCTACCTCCACATTTTCACCCACCACAGAAATCTACTCCTGTGGAATTTCCTCTCACTGGACCAGTGAATGCCCTTAACATGCAGACATGCAGAGAGAAAGAGAGGGAAAGAGAACCGATGCTTGAACTAGGAATCAACATAAACCATATATCTGGTTCTTTTGTGGTTCACTGGATACAGAACTACTTAATGTCTCACAAATACAGATATTTAAATTTTTCGAGAAGGAAGCACAAGGGGCTTCTTTGAAGGAGCTGTAAAAAACGACACTTTGAAAGTGTGTGGGTGTTTCCCAGTGGCCCGGTCAATGATCTGTGCCGGTTTGTGAGCATGAAGTCACAGCTTAGGTCATCAACCTCAAGGGCAAGAAAAATCCTGTCTTCTGTGTCTCTCAGCTCACTGGCGTCATGAGCTGAGGTCCGTGACACAGTGACATGGCAAAAACACACATTGTTAACGCACTGAAAAGACTTACTCCTGCTACTTCCATTCACAAATTTACTGTGACAAAAACACCACACACTTATATTTCACATAGTGCACAAATTGTTACAATAACTTTAACTAGAATAAGAGAGAGAGCATGTATTTTTGCTGATCAGCAGTGTGACAGTAACACAAGAAGAGAACACTATAATACCCACTATACAACAATATCAAAAGTTTGCTAACTTTGGCCATCATAAGCTACTAGTCATACCAGACCAAGTAAGGCTGTAGCAGCAGAAACCCGTGAGTGTTCTGCACCAATAAAGGGTGTGTTTTATTGCTTCTAAATTCAACTTTTCATCTGTAAAAAGAAAGACTTGTGTTATTTCTTCTCTAAGATTAGCTGTCATGAAAGCTAGTTAACTGAAAAGTAACAACAACTTCTGGAGGATGTCTCTTAGGGACATGTACTTGTACTAAGACATAAAGGACACAGCGAAAAAGGTGGCGTCCATGTTTTCTTTATAATAATGTTTTTACAGATTATAGGAGGAAAGGGTTTCAAAGCAAATTTAAATAGAGCATCCTCTTTATTGCATAGGAGTAATTTAATTGAATATAAGACATCCAATTTAGTGGAAATGGAGTTTTAAGATTTTAGAATTAGTTTTTTTTCGAAAGCACATGACAAAGCTACTCTCTCACTGGAAGACAAGTACTTAAAATGATTTACTTTCCAAACCTGATTCTTATCGACTTGCTGGCTCATGAGACCCACATCCCTGCCGTGTCTGTGCCATGCCGTACTCACTGAGCCACGCAGGGCCGTACATCATGGTGCATGGTGGTGACACCAAGGTATTACCACACACAAAGCCCAACCAGGGGCAACACACATCACTGACAATCACAACAGTAACCCATATGTTGGGGATGTCTGAATGCATGACTTTGAGCAACATGGTTAAAGCACACTTTTTGTTTCGGCCATGGTGCCTCTCCTTTCTGAATGCCACTTATCTTTCGGCTCTGTTGCACTGTGTAAGCCAGCACTTTAAAGGCCTAAAGACGGGGAGACAGGGAGCGGGAGGCAGAGAGATACGTACATACATACCACAAGCAAACTGGTGTTGACAGAGGAGCAGCTCCGGAAAAGTGCAGATGCGTTCCTAATGGCTATGTGTTCATGAGAGACAGGAGACAGATAGTCAGATAGACAGACAGTTTGGGGGAGAGGTGTCGGCCTGTCAACCCCCACCCATCCTCCTCGCCTTCCACCAGCAGCCAGCCCGAGGGGAGAGGGGCCGAGGATGGACGAGCTGCTGAGAGAGGAAAAGGGGGAAGCACAGCCGTGGGAGGAGGAGGTGGAGGAGGAAGAGGAGTGGGAGGAGAGGGATGACAGGGGGAATCTGTGTGCCAGGGGCAGAGAGATGAAAAGGAGGAGGAGAAGAGAGAACAGAGGGGGGAGGGGGGAGGTGTGCCAGGTGTTCCCCTCACAGCCGTGTGGTCAGTTGCTGTCTCCTCAACATACAGTATACGCACACACTCATATGGCGTCTCTATCCCGCTCTAAAGAATGCACTCTCTTTGACCCATCTCACACTACATGACATACATACATGACAGCCATAACAAACACACACTCATGCATCTAAAAAAAAAGTTATAGAGCAGTAAAAAGCAACACTTTTAGCACGATTTCCCTTTCAAAACACCACAGCTCACCGCAGATGTCAACGACCCCTTCACACTCCATTTTTTCCCCCAGATCCACTCTGTTCCAATCAAACATGTGGAAACTATCTGTAGTGTCCTCATGGCAGGGTTAAAGAGCGCCTCACTCCACAGAGTGACAAGAAGAAGAAAAAAGCAGTGGAGCAGCAGAGCTCAAGAGAAGAAAAAAAACTAACCTTCAAAGTCTGATATGATCCCTTCCAAGTGAGCGTTGACAGTGGAATCAGACATTTTGGGGAGCAAGTGTGTATGTGCGGGTGTGTATAGTGCGAGAGAGAGGGAGTAGGGTTCCCTTTCCCCAGCAAGGAAAAGTCTTCCTGGGGCGCAGTCCCGCTTTTAAACAAATCCCAAATTAGGAGCCCGTGGAAGAGAGAGAAGGGGAGGGGTAAAAAAAAAAAAAAACCAACACAAGATTTGAGCAGCTCACTGATCCAAACCCTCTCTCTATCTCTCCTCTCTTCCCTTAAAGCAGCAACTTATTTTTCTCTTCTCCTCCTTCTCAACTTCCAGAGCTTGGAATGAGCCAGCGATGACAACCCCCCACCCTCCCTCTCTCCCTCTCTCTCTCTCTCTCTCTCTCTCTTTCGAGCTCACTGTCTTCCCTCCCCCCCATTTCTCCTTCCCTCCTTTCCTCCCTCCCCTTCTGCAGCCGTCCTCTCAGACTGGTTCCTTTCTGTGAAAGCACTCATTTTTGACTGGGCTGGTCAAATTATACGCATGCTACATTCAGACACACTTCCTGTGGGCTCGATCACATGACTAACACACTATGGGCTACTGATGAAACACACAGAGTTACTTACTGTGTTGAAAATGCCAGCATCAGCATCCTATAAGCACACAAATCAGCGCAGTCACATTGGGAAAAGGCACATCTCCATTCAAACAAACATAAGGAGTGAAAAGTTACAGTAGATAAGTGAATAAATCCAGAGTGGAGACAGAATCATGGACTAATATGGTCAGGACGGGCTAAAGCAGGCGGTCAGTAGATCATCTGACATGCTTAGTCGCTCTGGAGGCAGACATCAATAAATAAGTAGCCTAATGACTTAATGACCATGTGAATGAGCCTCTGTGCGTGGGGGCGGAGGGGGAAGGGTGGACAAGGGCATTGGTCACGGGCCAACGGCGATGAACCACTCGCTGCTGTTGGCATCTTCACCGAAATTAACCATTTAGTTGTGATGAGACAGTACGCGCCAACAATAAGCGTAAAAGTAGTAGTGTGTGCGTGTTAGGAGACTGTAAATATCTACTGCTTTCAAAATAAGGGCAGCCCTATAAGACACTTGAGGCAAAAATTAGAAGATACATGAAATGAAAAATGCCTTTGCAGAGATTGTAGAAAGTAGAGATACAGATTAAATATGGGTTTAAGCTGTGATAAATGATTCAGGTTGTAACACAACAGAAAAAAACCCCTCAATAGTACAGTATAAAGTACTAAATAAAGTGTTTGGGCCTGAAATCCTGCATGTCTGGCAAACTTACCGCCAATTTGTTGCTTACATTGGAATCAAAGTGTGCGTTTTCTGTTGATTTAGGCATGTTTACCAATCGTAAACACAGATGTGCGCAAGTGCACAAACACACACTAACACACAGATTTAAAAAATAAATATGAGGCTTTACTGTACCAAAACCTGCAATCTGAGATAAATCTTATACCACATTCCCCCTGCCATTGAACCATGCACCATGAAGCAAGTATATAACCCACAAAATGTGTGAGAAAACTCTCTGATCGTCAGTGACTTTCTGGCTAACATGAAAACTGGACCTGTGCCTGGAATTCTTAAAAGTCAAGTCAAGTGAAAGGCGTAGCTAGCTGGGATGCCTGATTGTGAGGACACATCATTTACATCAAGTACAGTCTCAGTGAAGACAGCAGAGTTTTTAATCTTTGTTCAAAAGATGGTTTTCCTACGTGGCCCATCCAGAAATAAACACATTTTTATAGCATAAGAACATACTTCAAGTGTGTTTCCTTGAGGTATGAACCCCCACAATATTTGATTTCTCCAGCAGGGGTCAGCATTGCTCCTATAAATATAATGTGTCGCTACAGGCAACAGTGTTCGTGGTAGTAGTGTCACTAGCGTACAGTAATGTGATCTGGAAACAGATAAAGATGGAGACATGGGGAGAATCCTGCTCCGGACACACCCTTCAACCCACACAGTTTCTTCTGCCCAACATATGTGTGTCAGATTCCTCCACTCCCTGGCACACACTCATATTCAGACATACACTGAGCTACACACACACCACACACACACACACACACACACGACACACTACAACAAAAATGTGCACAGCAGAATGCATGCACAATACAACATGCACACGCAAACAATGCATCTCAGCCCAGCACCAACCCTTTCACTGAAACACACACACACAGACACACACACACAAAGCAAAGCAAAGCCCAACTTACCTGCCACTAGCATATCCTTGCAAGCCCGTCAGCAGCGGCCCCAGAGCAGCGCCTAATGCCAATCTGCTATACAACTGGTGCACCACTGGGAGAGCTTGAATGCTTTTCGTCGTGATCTGAAAGAAGCAACTATTTATACTGCATAGCAGTCATAGTGATGCATACGCAATGCG